TTTGTAACAATATCAATTATAATCTATTATAGATATATAATGATTATTATTAATTATAATTGATAGAGTAAAAAATCAATTAGTATCAATAATTTAAAAAATTTGACATTTTTAGTAAAACTTTGAAGATGAATATCTCAATAACTAGTGATTTAATTGGTCCAAGTTTTTACTACAATTAGATATGATATTCATCTATAAAGTATTAAGTTTCATTTTATTTAACTTAGTAGTTTTCAAAAATCACTTGTATACAATAGTTAATTTTTTTAAAAATATCGACTATCATATACAAGCGATTTCTCGAGAACTACTAAGCCAAATCAAATAAATTTTAATACTTTATCAATGAATATCATATCTAATTATGGTAAAAATTTAGACTTATTTGGATCACTAGTTATTGAGATATTCATCTTCAAAGTTTTCCTAAAAATGTTGAATTTTTTAAATTATCGATATTAATTAATTTTTTACTCTGTTAGTTATAATTAATAATAATTGTTATATATTGATTAAATCACTCAGATATACATCAATGCATAGCACTTAAAAAATTTTTCTAATGTATTAGATCTGAAGTTATGATTTTTTTATGCAGGTTAATTGTTTATTGTAAACTCTCCAAGTTTTAGCATTAATTGTGATTGTGCATATTTGTAAATCTTGCAGGATGAAATAAAGAAGTTAGTAGGTTAGAATAAAGGAAAACAAATAAAATAATAAAGAAAAATTTTATAAAAATATTTATATAATTTTTGATTGTGTTTAGTGATATTGCTTGTTTTGATTCAAATTTTTATTTGTCATGTTTTTTGTTTTGTCTAATTATAAATAATAAATGTTTTTTTCACATATTTGTTTTTTTTTAACTAGCCTCTTTAGGTTAAGTGTTTTTATTCAAGCTTGGATGGCTTATTAAGTAAAAGTTGTTCAAAAAATCAGAATATATATTATTATCTAAATTGGATAACTTTTTATTAATTAACTTTTGATTTTTATATTTAATAAATATAAATTTAAAGAAATTTTAAAGAAATTTAAAAAAATCATCAAATGTAATATGCAAAAATATATTAATAAAAAGTTATTCAATTTGGATAAAACTTTTAAAATATATGTATTTTGATCTTCTAAACAAATTTTTTTTTAATGTTAAGGTAACCTTTTTGCCATGCTGCTCTTTATTCAAATATCAACAGTATTTTTAACTGTCAGAACATTCTGATGGCTATACATATTTGTAGAGTATAACTAGCTATATCTGTGTCTTTTAAGTACCTATTTAAGTATTTACCTATTACTAGATTCTACACTAGATGCTGTACCTGCACTCTACTAAGGGAGTTACTCATTTAAACCATTTTATATCCAAGCAATAATACTTTGTACTACCTTATTTTTACATGCTGGTTTAGAGCTTTAAAGTGGTTTCAACCATTTTAGAGAGTAATTTGATCTTGAGGTAAACCTGCTAGAGCCTTCCATACCCATATTTTAGCTAATCTAGGCTTTGGTAACTTATGGCTAGTTCAAGAACAAGTACTTGCAGCTTTTTATTTCTGCTACCATTATCTACTTCTGCCCTTATAGAGTTTACTTATACCTAGTTCCAGTACTCATCCAATTAGGAACCCTTTCACAGTTTCACCAAACTCCCAATTTAGATAGTCTGGTTTGTCTACAAGTTACATTATCTGCTTTCCTACTGGCTTAACCTGGATATCTGCTTATGCCTTTTTCCTCTAGTTGATTCTGTCAGCCTAGTTGGTATGATGCTCGCTAAACATCTGGTTCTCGTTTAGATCTGCAGCTTTTTGGTTCTCTTCTTAGACTTTTCAAAACTATCAAAATATACACTACTTCTCTACTCAGAACTTGCCAAGCAGGTTTCTATATAAATGAATTATCCTAGTATGCAAAGAGCAAATTAAAGGCTATAATCAAATAAAGATAAAATTATTACAAATAGATCAAAATTAACAAGTGATTGAAGAAGGTTTTTTCTAAACAGAAAACTAGCTATTATCAACTAAACCAGAACTAACAACAATATAATTAGTTATATTGATATCATCAAGTAAAAAAAAAGGTCAAAATTTATACAAATAATATAGCAGAATTGTAATTATAAAAAAAGAAAAAACTAATATTATGAATAAATAATGTTTGAAGTAGGAAATTATAATCTTGTATAAAATATTGTAAAGTTAGTTAAAGTAAAAGATATAAAATTAAAATGGATATGTATCACTTAACAGAAAATTATTTTACAGACACCTTATTTTATAGATATTTAATTTATAGTCAAGTTTATTTTAAAGTAATTAATTTACAGTTAGTTCACTTTACAGACAATTTATTTTACAAACATTAATATATAAATAAATATAAATCTATAATTACTTTAGGATTCAGTAATTGGATTTAGGTAATTTTAGACTTTTAAGAATTATCTTACCAAGGTGATTATTTTGGTAATTAAATTATCCAAAACAGATTACTGAATTAGATTTTTTCTTTTTTAAAGATTGTCTATAAAATAAACTATCTGCAAAATGAGCTGTCTATGAATTGAACTGTTTATAAATTAATTATCTTTAAAATAAACTTGTTTACAAATTGAATATTTATATAATCAAGTGTCTATAAAATAATTTTTTGTAAAGTGATATATATTCAATTAGAATTAATTAAAGTTAAAAAACATAGTAATATTAGGTAGAATGAAAAAACAGATAGTTTGGCAAAGCAGTGTACTATGATAGCTAATATAGATAAAATTATTTTTAACTTTAAACTTAAATCAAATATTTCACTATGCTAGAATAAATATTTTGAACACCTAATAAGGTAGATAGTCAAAATGCTTTTAGATTTTAAGACAAATACTGATTAAAAAGAATCGAAAACAATTTAGAAATAGAGCCAAAAGAAGAGCTCAAAACAAATAAAATAACTCTATTTATAGAAAAGTATTAAGAAAAATAATAGAATAAGATGTACAACAATGCAGAAAAGCAAATGATAAGAAGTACTAGTAACTGTGCTAACAAAAATCTTTAGTGCTTAGTTTATAAGTACAAAGATGTCTAGACCTATACCAAAATTACAATTAATCATATACAAAGAGGAAGAAGAAGAAAATCAAGATTACTTAACATACTGCAAGAAGCAAGAAAACAACTGGAATGTTGCTAAAAAATTGATAGCAAAGCTAACTTGGAAATCTCTTTCAGAAGAAACCCAAGAAAGAACAGACAAGAATTTTCTTGAAAAGACTCTCTAAAGTGAATTAAAAGAAGATTCATTTAAGCAAGGACAAGAGCAATCAGGAGTCTAGTACAAGAAGAAACAGCAAATAAAATACAAAAAACACTCCAATCAAACAAAGAAACCAAGACATACATCAAACACAATATAGAATTGCTTTTACAAAAATATACAGAAACCAAGATGCAAAATGGTAAGAATTTGGAAAATAGATTAAAGTATTTTAACAAAAGAATAATGGAGTCATAAGTTAAGAAAAAAAGATGAATCCAAAGACAGGTGAAACAGGATCAAAGCAAAGGGCCTCAAAAGATGGGTAATATTATGAAGGAAAATTATAAAAGAAAGGAAAAGAGGAGAATTATAGAAATATAAAAAATTGATGATTAACAATTTAAAAAATTGGTTCAAAATAATTGTTGCCATTTTAGTATAGTTTGCATAGCTAACCTAGTATTATCCTTTTGGTTTTAAAGTAAACTTCAGACCAGTGCAGCAAATCGCTTCTAGGCACCCGAGAGGTAGAAATTAAGCTCAACATTATGTAATTTAGTTATATAATAATCTTAATAAAGGATCACCGGCAAGGTTGCCAAAGATTAAAAAAAAAAACATCATTGACACTGAAGACCCAGATCAGTCAATTGACATTCCCCAGGGAGGGTATATTCAACTAGTAATTGTCACTTCTCTTATTGTGCTTTCTGTTTTTGATACATTATATTTTCAATAAATGTTGAATAATGCGATAAATTGCTATTTTTTTGGGTTACTCTACTATTTTCTCTAACTTATCATACAAAGCTCACTTTATCTTGTTCTATATTCGCAGGGAATATTATTTTAATCTACTTAGTTGCTAGGTGATTTTTTTTTAAGATAAATGTAATAGACTCGTCTCAACACGTGGCTCACGAATTTATGCACGAAATACTCGAGTTAATTTATTAGAATTTTATTCGGATTATTTCCCTTGCAAAAATTTAAACACAATTTATAAAGCAGGTATGTATTGGACACATAGGTACCAGACTCAGCTCCCGAAAAATCTGATCGGTATGTCAGATTTTTATCAGTGAGCAAAATTATTAAGTAATGTAACTTGCTTTTTTTCTAGCAACGTCATTTTAAGCTAAATTTAGAGACTCATATCCAATGAAACTTGTCAAGTTGACAGCAACATTTCAATCATTTAAACTATATCGGAATTGTCTTTATTAATCTATTGCTTTCTGGTCGTCTCAATTAAAGATGTTCCTCCGACATAATAAACCTATAGGATGTGATAATATCTTATACAAGGCAATATTGATATATAGCAACCTTAATTTTTTTTAATATTCTATCAAAAACGATTACATTTGAGGGATCACTGATTACAAAGATTTTCTTATTAAACATTTATTTCGTACAAGATATAATATATAATATGATTGATTTTCGTGAGGTTAGCAATATCATCTCATGTAAGAGCATATCTTTAGTCTCAGTGATTTGATTTTCAAGAGTTGAGCCTGATAAATCCAATTTCAATTATGGCACAACATCACTTTACATTACATATAATGATTTAAAAGAGCAGGTATATTTAATATACTCATTAATCATGGTTAGAATATGACAAACTCTAGTTATTCGAATCATTCATTCGAGCCAACGTCATAAAGTAGAAAATTTTCTATTTAAATTTGAATTCGCAGTAACTCTTCTGTTTTTAATTTTCAATAATGGCAACATCCATGCAGAAAGAAGTAAATGTATTATTACTTGGAGAGACTGGTGTAGGAAAATCTACATTTATAAGCGCACTCTATAATTATCTTAAATTCGATACATTAAACGAAGCATTATCTGGAAATATGGAAATATTGATCTCATCAAAGTTCACAGTAACAGATGAGAATTATGAGTTTAAAACCATAGAACTTGGAGATGATTCAAACGAAAATCTAGAAAATGTCGGAATGTCAGCCACTCAATCATGTAGAGAATATCAATTTGACTTAGGAGATCTGATCATAAGATTTATTGATAGTCCAGGAATAGGAGACACCAGAGGGGTTGATAAAGACAAGGAAAACTTTGAAAATATTCTCAAATATATTAGCAATTACGAATATCTGAATGGGATTTGTATCCTTCTCGAGCCAAATAATTGGCGATTGACTGTATTTTTTGAATTTTGTATACAGGAATTATTATCTCATTTGCATAAGAGTGCCAAAGATAATATAGTTTTCTGTTTCACTAATTGCAGACGAACGCTTTATCGTCCAGGTGATACATTTCCAGCACTTAAAGAGCAACTTCGTAAGCTTGAACAAAGATCTGGTGTTGAAATAAAAATGAACAAAGAAACTATATACTGTCTTGACAATGAATCATTTCGGTTTCTAGCTGCATTCAAAAATGGTGTGAAATTTGATAAAATGGATGAAACAAACTTTACAGAAAGTTGGAAAAGATCCGTCGCTGAATCTGTAAGACTCTTTGAATATCTTTGCCTCTGTGATCCTCACAAAGTACAAGATACATTAACACTCAATGAAGCTAGAAAGATAGTATTACATCTTGCTATACCTTTTGCAAGCATAGAACAGCTTATTCAAACAAATATTAATCTGATTAAAGATCGACAAAAAGAGATTGATAGCTGCACTGAATCTATTAAGGATCTTAAAAAGAGATTATATATTCCACAACAATACCATGAATCCACTGATTGCAATTACGAATACGTAGGTGGAAAAGTAAACTACAAATCTCATTGTCATGAACATTGTTATTTGGATGAGATTGTGCCTGAAGTGCGTAATAATTCTGCATTATTGAATATTATTGATGAAAGTGTGGAAATACAGATTAATGATAAAAAATCATTTCAAAACACAAAAGAAAGTGCCATAAGAAATTGCGAACAAAGACGAAAGCAACTAGAGAGTGAACAAAAGATTATAACTAAAATTAATATAATCCTAGAAAGTGAACAAAAGATTATAACTAAAATTAATATAATCTTTGCGAAATTTCTAAGACAAAGTGCAATAGCCACATTTAATGATTCATATTCTAAATATCTAGATCATTTAATACGTGAAGAAAGAATCAAGCAAAGTTTTGATCCCACTAAATATAATAATGTAATTATTGAAGGACTCGAAAAGACGAAAAGAGAATATCAAGAAAAAATTGAGGTTATAAAGAAAGCACTCGCTGTTAATGATTCTTCTGAAGATTTAATTACCCCAGAAGATATTGTTAGATATGAAAAAGAATTGTATAATTTGAAAATCAATGGGGAAATGTTGAAAAATAAATCTCAATCTAAGACAAATAGTCATAGAAATGCGCGCAAATCAGAGTCTAAATATTTTGCTCGATTCTTTAAGCGTTAAGATTATATTATCCTTATATTATGCTAGTTACACAGCCCTAATGCTTTGTAATGTTTCAACACAAATTATGCTAATGTTTTGCACTATGCTGTTTTTCTTTGCAATAAAATAGATAAGTAATAAGCTTATGCGAAAACATTGATACAAAAGCTAATTGTAGCCGAAAAAATATTTCAAAGTGATTTTTTCTCATTATTTTATTTATATATGTGAGTCAGAAATCAATCTGTAGCTGTATATAACATGGTTATTGATCAAAAATCGCTTATAATAATAACTCGAAATTTTAATTGCTTCGCACTGATTAAAAATGTTTCCTGCGGAGTTTAATTATACAAACATTAACTCAATACACCGTGGCTAGATAAAGTAGTTTGATTTAACGAATGTACTACCTACTATTGATCTGCTGAATTTTTATAATGATGCAGAGTATTATTATAAAAGTATGAAATAGATTTTGAAGGTTTATCGACATGATTATGTAAATTGATTTCTTTATCTAAAGACGTTCTGCAATTTTCCTTAATTTTTGCGATTAATTTATTGTTTAATTATAAAAAGATCTTATGAAAAAAATATATATATTAAAATAAATAGTATCTAATTAATTGGCATTTAAAAGAAGGGTCAATTTATTCTTATTTAATTCTAATATGTCATCTACATAAACTACGGTAAATTTCTTTAGTTATCAGTTACATAATTATAGAGAATTATTTAAGCTACCACTACGTCATTACACTCATTACATTTTTGGAGTGTGATATTGATATGTATATACGTACGTACGTAGAAACATTTTTTTTTTTTAGATGGATACATGAGAGCACAATTTAACAATTTGAATTTTGAAAAAATCCGAAAAAACTTGGAAAATAAATAAAATATTACCTTTATAGTGTTAATTAGGTAAAAATCCTATTTTTTAATGTGTTTAATTCATTGTTGTCGTGATATATAACATCTAATATACGAATTTAGACAATATTGTAATAATGGTAGAAACATTTTCTAAAGACCTAGTTGAAGATCTTAAAAAGTTATATGAAACCAAAGAACATTATGACACAATTATCATTGTTGGAGAAGAACCAAATGTTGAACGAATTTATGCCCACTTTATAATTCTTTGTACTAGATCAACTTATTTTCGTAGTGCATTATCTGATAAATGGGCAGAAAGAAAAGAAGGTTATTTGGTTTTACAAAAACCTAATATAAATGCATTAACTTTTAAACTTATTCTTAAGTAAGCAATACATTTATTAAAATTTTACTACAACCGTTTAAGATTTTAGTTCTATTTATATATATTATATATTTAAATAGGTTTTTGTATTGTGGAATAGTTGATTTAACCAATCAAGAATATGAAGCAATCTTAAATCTTCTAGTCGCTGCAGATGAACTTTTAATTCAAAGACTTACTGATTTCGTTCAGGATTTTTTAATCAAAAATAATTCTGTATTCTTACAACAAAGTCCTATTAAAATGCTTCATTTTATTGTCAATAATGATCAATTTAACGAACTTAAGAAAGCTTATTTGGATATCTTTTGTAAAACTCCTCATTTATTATTTGATTCGGATAAATATCCTTCATTGGAGAAAGATGCACTGAAATTGATTCTCAAGTGTGATAACCTCGATATGAAAGAAAGTGATATCTGGAAAAAACTAGTTGAATGGGGAATCGCACAACATACAATGCATGAAGGAGACATGATATGTCAAGACACGAAGTATGATGACTTTGATATATTAAGAGAGACATTACAAGAATTAATTAAACTCATTAGATTTTATCAGATGGATCGTGATGCATTTATTCCTGATGTATGGGAATATGTGAACATCCTTCCTAACGATTTAGTTAAGGATGTACTACGTTGTTATTTAGACTCAAATGCTAAACCATTATATCAACAATTTTTGATTAGATTGGGCAACTTTAAAATCGACTCAGTATCAATCAATAAGGAGATTGCACAATTATTGACGAAATGGATAGACAAAAAATCTAGAAATGATAAGATAGCAGGGTTTCAATACAATTTTAATCTTCTTTTTAGAAGTGGCTTGGATGGTCTCTCATCACAAACATTTCATCGAAAATGTGATAACAAAGGAGCAACAATTGTTGTTGCGAGGATTCAAAATTCAAATTTACTTATTGGAGGTTACAATCCACTTGATTGGATTGGTAAAAAAGTATGGAAACAAACAACAGATAGCTTCATATTTGTAATAGATCCTAATGAACTCAAAACAGCAATAATATCACGCGTTAACCATAATTATAGTGGTTTTGCTATTTATTGCGACCATAATGAAGGTCCAAGTTTCGGAGAAGGTCCCGATTTACAAGTTCAAAATAACAGTACAATCTGCAGAGTTAATCCAAAAACCTACCCTAAATTTCTAAATATGGATTCACATTACCTCACAATCTTAGATTATGAGGTCTTTCAAGTGGTTGATAGCATTACAGGACTTTCTATTCAAGGCCGAGTATAAAAATATAAAAAGAGCAAATCAGTGAAATATAATAATTAATTTCAGTATAAAGAGTTATGTTTCTTGACAAAACATAGTACTTTATATAGGGGACTTTTTGTTTTACATCCGGGACCATCAATAGAAAACATCGACCGTAATTGAAGTTATATTTTTGCGTACACTCATAATGATCTGTATGTTTTTTATATTTTATTACTTTTTACCAATATTTTGCGTACATTCATAACGATTAGCATGTTTTTTTTTTTATCTTTATTTACTTTATATTGATACAGTTTTGCTATAGAACTTAACTAATAAAGAAGCAACTGCATATTATTTTTTAATTGTATAATTTTATGTGTGCTGTATCTTTTTTTTTTTTTTTTTTTGATATTTCTAAGCACCGATTGTGTTGAAAAATTTGCGCTGTATATCATTTCTGATATATTTATGTTGGAAAAGTCGACTAAGTAATTACATGCCGCGAATGATCGTGAAATCGGATGATGGTGAAATTTAGGGGTCTCGATTTGAAAATATAAACCCTACCAACATCCACCTATACTCTTTTACTTATAACTCTAACTCTAAATCCTAACTTAACTATAAAAAAAAAAAGCCGACAAAAAATGCCCCCAAATAAATTTAAAAATCGTACATAAAATAGATCCAAATTTCACCATCATCCGATTTCACGATCATCCGTGACATTACATAATCATGCGGAGTACACATTTGCGATATGCAATACTAGAAGGATTCATGTCATAATTTATAATAAGGTTATCGTTACGCAGCAAGTAAAATGTAATTAGAAAAACCGTCGATGTTACACAACTAATCCCACACCTGGTGTGCAGCACATAAAAATTATTTTACAATACCGCTAGTATATGTTACGATTATAATACTTCACATGTTTGATTATTATAATCGTAACATTAACTAGCGAAATGATCCGGTATTGTGAAATATTTTTTTTATGTGCTGCACACCAGGTGTGAGTAGGGATGGTAAAAAAACGGTTTAAACAGTTTTTTAAACATGTTTTATTGTTTTAAATATTTTTTATTGTTTTAAAACATTTTTAGTGTTTTAAAACATTTGTTATTGTTTTTAAAACTTTTTTAAAACATCAAAGTCTGAGATAAAATTTTGCTGAAAATGAAAATATTGCTTCTGATTAATTTTAATTGACAGCAAGAAATTTTTTTAAAAAAGCGATGCTATATGATTTCGAATTTATTATATATATACATAAAAAAATAAACTTATAAGTAATATATTTGATCACTTTAATTTTATCAATTATATTTTTAAATGTATAAATTTGCAATCAGCCAAATACAATCTTTTATTTGGCATTAGTTTTAC